GGGTGTAAATGGATAGATGTTATTGAATCTGACAAACAGAAAATCATCGTTGACAGATGGATTGTTGTTTGTGTGTCTGCAGTGTGTCAGGCTGTCTGATCACAGAGGAAGGCTGTACGTCTCTGGCCTCAGCTCTGAGCTCCAACCCTTCTCATCTGAGAGAGCTGGACCTGTGCTACAATCATCCAGGGGACTCAGGAATGAAGCTGCTGTCGGCTGGACTGAAGGATCCACGTTGGAGACTGAACACTCTCAGGTATGGAGAGAATATCTGGTAGAGGAGGAAGAGCTGGAGACATTTCCTCTGTCCTTCACTCACTTCCTGTTTGTTTCATGCAGATGTGGCATGAACAATTATGCGTGAGGTCTCCAGGGAGAACTTCCCCAGGAACAATCTGTAGATATCTCAGTATTTTTAACAGTGCAGATTGGATTTCTTTCTTTCTTTTAATTGTATACACAGACCACAGACATATTTATCCTAGATTAAAACATCCACCAGAAGAAGGAAGAGGAAAGGAAATGAAAAAAATATTAGCCTACCTTTGTCAAAAGAAAAAATAAGACCTTATAAAATTATTATTTTATAATCATGGCTGTGGTAGAAGCTGACAACTACAGGGAGATGTTTTTGGTACATTTAAAGTAAAGCAGATGTGCACAAATGTTTTTAAGTATTTCAGTGCTTTTCATAGACAAATGTCACAATGTGCTTTGAAAAGCAAACACACTATAAAGTAATGGAACAGAAAACAATGGAAGAAATACATTTAGAGACGATGTAACAAACTTGTTATCATAAGATGGTTTATGTGTATTTATGTTCAGTTTTTAACCACTTTTGAATTCTTTATTTTGTCTTTTAACTTACAGTTACTTTTCACAATGAATTCACAATGTAAATCGAATTGACTATCAAACTAAAAAGCATGTCACACAGCTTGAGTGTCTGTTTGCTGTTCATTGTATACACTCTCTGCTGCTGTGTTTGTTCTGTGTGTGGATGCTGCACTGACTCAAATTTCAGAAGTCATGTACAGTCGTGGCCAAAAGTTTTGAAAATGACATAAATATTAGTTTTCACAAAGTTTGCTGCTTCAGTGTTTTTAGATCTTTGTGACAGTTGTTTCTGTGATGTATCAAAGTACATAGGCTTTTATTGACAATTACATAAAGTTTATACAAAGAGTGTGTATTTGCAGTGCCGGTGATTCTATTTCAAGACCTCTGTCAATCAGCTTCTGGCCCAAGTCCTGACTGATGGCTCCCCATTCTTTCATAATAAATGTTTGGAGTTTGTCAGAATTAGTTGGGTTTTGTTTGTCCACCTGCTTCTTGAGGACTGACTACAAGTTTTCAATTGGATTAAGCTCTGGGGAGTTTCCTGGCCATGGATCCAAATGTCAATGTTTTGTTCCTGAAGCCACTTAGTTATGACTTTGGCCTTATAGCATGGTGCCCCATCATGCTGGACAAGGCATTGTTTGTCACCAAACTGTTCGTGTATGGTTAGAAGAATTTGTGTCGGTGGATGTTTTGGTACTATTCTTTATTCATGGCTGTGTTTTTCAGCAAAATTGTAAGTGAGCCCACTCACTGAAAAGCAGCTCCACCCATGAACGTTCTCAGGATGCTTTGCTGTTCACGTGAGACAGGACTGATGGTAGTGCTCACCTTTTCTTCTCTGGACAATCCTTTTTCCCAGATGCCCCAAACCATCAGAGAAAATGACTTTACCCCTCAGCAGTCCACTCGCTGTACTTTTTTGCAGAACATCAGTCTGTCCCTCATACTTTTGGGGGCGAGGGGAGAAGTGGTTTCTTTGCTGCTGTTCCTGATACCAGGCCATCCTCCAAAAGTCTTCACCTCACTGTGGATGCAGTGTTAACCATGATTAACCACAATGATTTCAAACCTCACCCAGTAGCGGTTTTAGATACGGGCGACACGGGCGGTTGCCCGGGGCGGCATCGTGGTGGGGGGCGGCATCACGGGCATCGGCAAAAAAAAAAAAATGCTCATACTCATGCTGCCCTGACGTCATGCCAGCGCACATCGGGAATGGCATAGGCAGCGATTGGTTTTCTATCGCCCATTTGCTGGGAGTAAGGGCGCCCTCCGTTTGCGAGGTGCGCCTGCTGCTTGCGGCACAGGGAGGAGAGGGCAGGGCGGTGGGGGATTCTCTGACCAGCTGGAGCAGCATCTAATAACCAACTAACAAAATAAAAAAAAATAAAAACAAACCAACAAACACGAAAACACCAGACATCATGATACAGACTTGTATTTTGCACCGATGTTTTTTTCGAAATTCTATACGCGAAAAGTGAGCACGAGAGCCCTCGGTGCGCCTGCGCGCTGCTGAAGTCAAAGTAAACTTTATTGTCATCTCTGCTACAGACAGTCCAGCATATAGAGAGACGAGACGACGAGGCTCCAGTTACAGCGGTGCAAGTAAACAAACAATATATATAAGAAGAGTAAGAAAATAAATCTACACTTTAGGACTCGGGGTAAAGGATCAATAACAATTTAAAATTTACAGTTTGATGATTTAAAGTCTCACACAACCCGTTGAAAGGGGCGGGGCCTGCTGCTTCCAAATAGAGCACATTTCATTCATAATGTTTTAAATCCAAGCCCATTGTGTATTCATGATTTGAATCCTGGGTTGTCTTAAATCTCAGAAATACACCTTAGACAAAGTGAATCTGTGAACTAAGGTGTAGGTTTATTAGGTTATGTTGTGGTGATCCTCGGGTTGGGGGATGGGTGTTCATACTGGAGTGCAAAATTAAAACCAATGGAAGATGGACAAGAAAAGTTCAAAGCCATCAGGTCCTCAGTTTAGAAAAAAGAGAAAAGAGGAGGAGAAATGAGCAAAAGATGCAGGTAAGCAGATGTGTCACTGGATAATGGCAGGTCATCCTGAAACAATCAGAATCAGAATACTTTATTAATCCCTAAGGAAATAATGTGGGTTACAGTTGCTCCAAGAAGAAATGGTAAAAAATAGCAACCGTAACAGACTAAACTCCAAACAATACATTATGTTACAGATTTTAATATTAATTAGTCATTGTCAATTGTTGATTTGTCCTGTTCTCGTTGTATGACGAATTATGATGGCTGTTTGGTAGCCGTTTGCATACTATGCATAGTCTCTCTCTCTCTTCATATGTGTGTGTGTTTTTCTCTGGTGAAATTCAGTATGGTTCCGACAACAGTTTTATGTTAATGTACAATCCTTAATATGTTGTGTGTGTGTGTGTGTGTGTGTGTGTGTGTGTGTGTGTGTGTGTGTGTGTGTGTGTGTGTGTGTGTGTGTGTGTGTGTGTTGTTGGGGGGTGCGCCAAAGGGAGTGTTCGCCCAGGGCACCAAACAGGCTAGGACCGCCACTGACCTCACCCACATTTTAACAATTCCATTGCGCTATTCTAACTTGATCAGCATAACATAATGATCTCCAGCCTTGTGCTCGTCAACATTCTCACCTGTGTTAATAAGAGGATCTCAGCAGGTCCTATTATGGCAGTGATGGAAAGCAGTGGAATTGTGGTTTTTTTTCTAGGGGGGGGTTAGTTTACATGGCGAAGAGGGACTTTGAAATTCATCTGATCACTCTTTCTCACTCTCAAAACTTTTGTACACCACTGAACAGTAACCACACTGACACAAAGAGATGGAAAACAGCTGGCAGCAAAGGCAGAGAGGTGTCTTTTCCAGCTAAGCAGAAGAGGAATATAAAGATAATGAAGGTCACAGTTTGAATCAGTCACATTTCAGTCAATACAGTGGTGCACTGACAGATCCAGGATCAGTCCAAATCATCAGCAGTGTATTTGTGAAAATGTTGGACTGTTCCTTTATCAGTGTCTATCAGTCTGTGTATGAGAGCCATGTAATGTCCATGTGTGCATGCTGACTGTGCTGCTCTGACCCCCCTCCTCCTTTCAGGGTGGAGCCTGCTGGAGAACAATGGTTGACACCAGGTCTGAGGAAGTGTAAGTGTGTTTTTAAAGGGATTCATGAAAACAAAGCAGCACACATTCACATCTCTGATGTCAGGAGTCATCAAAGTGTCAATCAATGAACAGATGATGGATCAATAACTACAGCTGGATTGTGTTTGTTCTCTCCATCAGATTCCTGTCAACTCACAATCGACACAAACACAGTGAACACAAAGCTCCAACTGTCTGACAACAACAGGAAGGTTACACATGTGGAGGAAGTTCAGTCGTATCCTGATCATCCAGACAGATTTGATGTTTATCATCAGCTGCTGTGCACAAATGGTCTGACTGGTCGCTGTTACTGGGAGGTCGAGTGGAGAGGATGTGTTCATATATCAGTGAGTTACAGAAGAATCAGAAGGAAAGGAAACAGTAAAGACTGCGTGTTCGGATGGAATCCTCAGTCCTGGACTCTGAGCTGCTCTGATGATGGTCCTCAGTCTCTCAGGCACAATAACAGAACAACATTTATCTCCTCCTCCTCCTCCTCCTCTGTCTCTAACAGAGTAGCAGTGTATGTGGACTGTCCTGCTGGAACTCTGTCCTTCTACAGAGTCTCCTCTGACACTCTGATCCACCTCCACACCTTCAACACCACATTCACTCAAACTCTTTATCCTGGGTTTTGGGTTGATCCTGGTTCCTCAGTGTCCCTGTGCTGAGTGGAGTGTAAAGAGTGTCGTCCTGTTAGAGAAACACTCTGACTGTTGGATAGATAGTTCAGTCTGTACATGTCTGTCTCTTTCACGCAGAAACACGTTTTCAGATTCATGGATTCAATCAGTTGATGTTTTAAACTCTTCTAAATGATTGTAAACTTCTTCCTCTTCAGTCCTTTAAAGATGGAAGCTCCCATTATTCCAGGATCCACATGTTGTTTTTCTGTCTTTTTCCACTCAAAGCTTCACAGTGAATATCAGTATGTTGTGTTTCTCTGAAGCTCTGTTGTTCATCTCTTCATCTGAGCTATCACCCTCCCCTTGCTGTTCAACTGAGAACAAGGCACAATTTGCAATTGCATTAATCCAGGGTTCATTTCTCTCTCAACCGGAAGAATGGAAAGAGACGACGAGGAAGACCCAAAATAACATGGAGGTAGGGCTGGGCCATATTATACCGTTCACGGTAATACCGGTATAATGTTAGGCAACGATAGGAAAATGAAATATCGCGATAGAATATGAGTAAAACGCGCATGCGCAGTGCCTTTGTTTTCATACGCACATGGCCGATTGTTGAGTGAAACAGATGAACCAGAATTGGTTTGTAAAAATGGTGCAACTTCAGTGATGTGGAACTGGTTTGGTGTTTGTCCGTCAGATACACGACAAAGCACATTTTTTTGCAGAACATACAAGCGGCCGTCGTTATTGTCATATTTGTCGGATTAAGATGCTCTTAAATCTGGAAGTAATCTGGGTCCTAAACTCCGTATTCTTCAGGTCAAACAACACTGCAGCATCACTGAGAGTTAAAAACTGTCTAAATTCTTTCATCTTTAATAAAACGATCAGCATTGCTGCTTTACCAGGTGTAACTATGAAGTTTAACTTCCAGGCATCCATGAAAACAAAATGTATTACATTTAACGGAGTTAGAAGTTAGCAGGAAGCTAGCGGAAGTTAGCTCGCTAGTTTCGCTAGTTACCTAAGCATGATATAGCATGTTCTGACTGAGAGATTTCTGAAAAAAAATCAAACGTACAGCTCTGCTATCACTTCCAACATAAATGAAGACAGGAAACTAAACAGCAGTGACGTTTGTAGGGTTACTGAAGTTGGGCTAGCTGGTATATATTGATGTGCTACGTGATCGCTAGCGACACAGCTATGTTAGCATAACATAAACAGTGAAGCTGGAGGACGAACACTAACACTTTTCCACCTATAAAAGTTAACGTTAAGGTTCCTGATAGTTAAAGACAAATGCAATCGCATGGCAGGATGCTGTAAACGGACCAAACTTCAGTCAGGAGAACAACTGAGATAATCCATCCACAATACGAGGTTAGTCATTAATATACTGCAACAACATGGGAATAGAGCAGCTGCCAGAGAATTCAACATTAATGAATCAATGGTACAGAAGTGGAGGAAGCAAGAAGAATGAGTTTAATAAAGTTTGATTTATCTGACTGCTTTGTTTTGCTTAATGTGCCGTATAATCCCGTGCACCTTATGGTCCGAAAAATACGTACTGCACACTGCAGTTTAATGTTGCAAAGCACCTCTTTTTAACTTCAGTGGATATTATACATGGTTATGCTCAGGATATGTCAGCCCATTTCTACTGGAAATGCCTTTTGGTTAAACTTTCAGCAAGGAATTTGCATTTGCACTGTTACATTTTTATAAAGCTTTAATGTACATAAAAACCAGCTTCTTGTTTAAGTGAAAATAAATGGAAGGTTGTCTTTTTGCGCTAGTAATGTTGTGGAGTTGTATTTTGTCTCGCATCAATTATATCGTCGGTTATATCGTTATCGCAAATTTTCAAATATATATCGTGATAAATATTTTTGGCCATATCGCCCTGCTCTACATGGAGGAGGACTTTCCTTGAAGTCCTTATACCCAGCAACACGCTCAGACACAAACTGGTTCATCACAAAGACAAAACTCCAAAACACAGTCTTAACAATGTGGTGTATGCTGTACAGTGCAGCGAGGAATGCCCAGACCTCTACATTGGAGAGACCAACCAGCCACTTCACAAGCGCATGGTACAACATAGAAGAGCCACCTCCACAGGACAAGACTCAGCTGTCCATCTGCATCTAAAGGTCAAAGGTCACTCTTTCGAGGATGCCAATGTTCACATTTTGGACAGAGAGGACAGATGGTTTGAAAGAGGAGTGAAAGAAGCATCTATGTCCACTGTGAGCGACCATCTTTGAACAGAGGCGGTGGTTTACGACACCAACTCTCTGCCATCTATAATCCAGTTTTGAGATCCCTTCCCAGACGCCTTAACACCCACTCACATCCTGGGCCATCTGACCTCAGGAATTCGCATGATAAGGTGGGGCCAGGTTTCACAATGAACTCACCCGAAACTCTGGCTGATTGGGACCCACACCCAGTTTCACACCTTGGCTCAGGCGATTAGAGGATCATCAGGGGGTTCTTTGTCCCTCTGTGGGGGGACACTCCCACTAGGTTTATATCTGGGACTCTCCACCATTTGACCTTAGAATTGAAGAAGCTTCTCGGATGAGAGGTGAAACGTCTTCAAGCAACTTAAAGAAGTCCAAACGTTTTTCTTTCCAAGCTCCTTGGACTACGATGACCTGGATGACTGAGAACCTTCACAGTCACTTTCCTTGAAGATTTACGCTCGGTCGAACTGTCATGTGATGAAGCAACAACTGCTGCGATGGACCGGGTTTGATGGCGTCCACTTGTCGCCCAATGCGCCGATCGGCGCGAGAGGATCTAAGTCTAAGTAAGTTAATCCAGTGGTTCCCAAATTTTTTTTGCTAGACCCCCCTTTGTTTTACAAGAAAATCCCCCCTGGCACATCCACAACTACACAGGTATTTTTGAAAACGCAGTTTTTCTATGCATTAGGCCTTTTGTCCACACATAATCACCGAAAATTGAGATTGTTAAAAACTCCTGCCAGGGTGGAGATTTTTGAAAACCCGTTTTTTGTGTTTTTGTGTGGAAAAGGAATATGGAGTTCGCCACGCAACATCAAAGGTGTGTGCCTTTTTTGACGTCACGCTGTTCGCCTGTAACAGGGCGGCCCTTAGCGGCTGGAAACACAGTGAGATGGACCGAGGCAAGTGTAGTGGAACAAAGTATTTATTTGCTATACAGCTCTCCTTACAACAATTAATTTGTCGAGCTTCTTCACAGCACAAAAAATCCATCCTCTAATGACAACTGGCAGCCTTAAATATGTTCAGCTGTCACAGACTTAACCATTATTCCACTCTCAGGTAAATTCTTAAATCCCAACCTTCCACCACAGTATCCAATATATCAATAAGAATAAATAAATACATTTTCACATTTACATATTAATAAATATTTCACACTCTAATGTTACACCAAACCCAATATTATAAAAACCCAGAAACCCAAGCACAAAAAGATTCACCACACTCTCTTTACCAATGGCCTCTCCCGGAACCTTTAAATGGTGTCTGGACCCCCAGGGACACATTTGCCCAAACACCTTGAAGAGGACACAGGCAAGAAAGGTGAGTAATCATTATAATAATAATAATAATAATAATAATACATTTTATTTAAATAGCGCCTTTCAAAGCACCCAAGGACACTGTACAACAGATAAAAACTGGAAATATACACAATGGTAAAAATAGAAGATAAAAGTTAAAACATACAGAAATTTAAGAATAGGCAATTTTAAACAGATGAGTTTTGAGGGTGGACTTAAAAAGAGAGAATGAACTAATATTTCTGAGGTCCGGGGGTAGGGAATTCCAAAGTCGAGGGGCAGAGCAGCTAAAGGCCCTCCCTCCCATTGTGATCAGACGAGCAGAGGGAACAGAGAGAGAAAGAGAAGATGAAGATCTGAGGCAGCGGGATGGGAGCTTCATCTGTAATAAGTCTTACACTCATTTGCACCACTTTTATCCCTAGATTTCTTTTTTTTTCTTTTTTTTCTTTTTTTTTTCCACACACACTTGCATTAGTTTTCCTTACTGGTAAACCTTAATAACTATCTCAATCACCATTCTTCTCTCCTGACAGACAACCACCACATTCCTTGATGAGGAGCAGCTGTGCAGGATCTGAAATAAGGCTACCAAGTGATTTTAAAATTCCCAATAAATAGTCAATAAATATTTAACCTTCTTGTGTGCAAATCCATGCTTAAAGTGCAATGCTAAATAAAGTGCTTGATAAGGTGCTTTTAATAAAGTGAAAGGTGTGCTCTAAAGTGCTATACAGATAATATAAATAAATATAGTAAGGGAGTCCTCTTCCTTACATCGCCACATTATTGTTTACATGAGATGAATTTCTACAATGGCTGATAGAGACAAAATGCTGTTGCTGTTATTCTGACTATCTGCAGATTTTACATTTTTACATATACACACACAGTTACTGTCCCTCCATTTAGAAAGGCAGAGGCGTCAGAGTGAACTTCTACATTTAACACAGATGCTCTTACAACCAGTCCTGATTCCAACATCATCATCAGTGTTGGGTAAGTTACTTTAAATTAATAACTTAGTCACATTACTAGTTATTTCTATCAAAAGTAACTCAGTTACTTCAAGTTACCCGTTACTTTCAAAGTAACTACAGGGAGTGCAGAATTATTAGGCAAATGAGTATTTTGTCCACATCATCCTCTTCATGCATGTTGTCTTACTCCAAGCTGTATAGGCTCGAAAGCCTACTACCAATTAAGCATATTAGGTGATGTGCATCTCTGTAATGAGAAGGGGTGTGGTCTAATGACATCAACACCCTATATCAGGTGTGCATAATTATTAGGCAACTTCCTTCCCTTTGGCAAAATGGGTCAAAAGAAGGACTTGACAGGCTCAGAAAAGTCAAAAATAGTGAGATATCTTGCAGAGGGATCCAGCAGTCTCAAAATTGCAAAGCTTCTGAAGCGTGATCATCGAACAATCAAGCGTTTCATTCAAAATAGTCAACAGGGTCGCAAGAAGCGT